AGGGTGAGGTGAAGGTAGGAGAGGGACCGGAGACAGATGGGGGGTGGCTGACTGCGGAAGAGACCCAAAAGGGAAGGGAAGCCAAGAGAAGGGGGAAAGGGGCGAGAGAGGAGAGGGATCAGGGGGGGTGAGAAGGGCAGGGGGAGCAAGAAAGCTAGGAAATGGGAAATCGACACGGAGTGGTAAGAAAGGCAAAAGGGCCCAAGACATTGATGGGAGGAGTGCACCCTTTGACCGCTAACAACATGGGGAACAAAACTCGGGGAGCAATAGAAGTTCAGAGAGGGATGAGTAAGCTCTAGGTCCCAGTTGGAGGGGAGAGGAATTCATCAAGGACAAGAGGAGAGAGGGGGTAGGGTCACAAAGCAGAGGCAGAGGAGGGAGGGGGGAGGAGTTGGTATGGGGAGGAACGCAGGTGAAAAGGGGAGGAACGCCGGCAGACTAAGAAGGTAACAGGAGGGAGGAAAAACCTGAGGGGGTAGAGAAACGAGAAAAGGCCGAAAGGAGAGATGAAGGCGTTCGGCCGCCACCTTGGGGGAGCCACGCGACACTCCAAAGAAGAGAGGGTGAAAGATTGGGAGACTCGAGGCCAGAGATGGCAGCTTGCAGCGGCAACGAAGGTAGAGAAGAGACAGAGTGCTCAAAAGTTGAGGGAACGGGAAGGGCAGGCGAAACAGGCACTGAATAGAGGAGGGCGCCATGGCAGTATGGCAGGCACACCTCTGGAACAGTAGTAGGCGGCGTGGCGGTCTCCAAAGTAGATGAGGCAAAAGGCACTGAAGAGATAGAAAGGCGGGAACCACAAGAATCCGAATGGGTAGCTATTGTGTGTGAAAGGTAGGAGAAGACGAAGAGGCGGTGGATGAGGGTGGGCTGGGTACAACAGATAGGCCCGGCACAAATGGCAAAAGAGGAGAGAGAGACTGCACTGCCGGGCATAGATCAATGTTGAGAAAAACATGATCATGACCCGACACCAAGGGGTTAGGTGAAGCGAACTATGGGGAAAGGGAGAGATCAATGGCGAGGGCCGTAACCACGTCACTAGAGAGGACGGGGTACAATAGTGAAGTAGGTTAAGAAAGGACGATGGGGGCAGGAGAGGGTGACAAGTGGAGAGCGGCGGGAGGAAGGGGTAAGTAGGCTGGAGGTGGTTGTTGTACTTTGAGAGGCGGTGGAGGGGACCGAAAAGAGGGGGAATGCAGCGCCAATAGAGAAGAGTCAGGAGATGTCGGTGGGCTGGAGGAAGCCACAGTCGACACGTGGCTAGAAGTAGCAGGAGGGGGCACGCGTAAGGCGAGAGAGGGTGGTGGACATGCATAGAAGGTGGAGGGAAATTTGAAAAAGATGAGCCCAGGTTCGAGGAAGCGCCCGAGAAGGGCAGAGTCACACACCAGATCTCCTTACCGGGTCAACGGTTGAAGGAAGGGGAAGCTTCAGTAGCCAGGGCAAGCGAGGCCAGCTCTGGGCACGATTGGGCGAGAGGGGGTGGCGGGGACACAAGAAGGGGGGGCTTGGAGTTGGGGTGGCGACCTTTGACTAAGGCCAGATCATGAGTCCGTCATCACATCCTGTACATACCTGCTTTCTTAGCGACCAGGGTTCAGGGAACAGGCTGGGCTATCGAAGCAACAACTGGGGCCTCATTATGAAGGAAATGAGGGGAAGGGGAGGAAGCCGGTGACCAAGAGATCGAAATGGGGTAGTAAAGGTTACCAACCTCAAGCCACAGAACTTTGGGAAGGAAGCTGGGGTCAACAATTCCACCAGAACTCGTATTGAACCCAGGGGGAGGGATTCAATCGACATCCAGTGAATCGAGATGAGAGACCCGCACCCGGAAGCAAGACACCGGAAAGTATCAGGGGACCACGCATGAAGAGGGATGTGGTTAAAGATAAGCCACACCCTTTGTTTCTTGAAAGACCCTTCGAAAGGTGACCAGGCTCGAAGAAAGCACCGTGCTTTGTGGAAGGAGAAAGAGTTGGTACCCTGAAGCGCGAGTAGAGCACTTTTTGAGGAGGGGAAAGAGAAAAGGATGTCACCACTGGAGATGCGTCTACAATTGAGGTTAGGCTCCCCCCAGTGTTTCTACGCGGCCTTTTCAATGCCTCTGATATCTTGGCGAGTAGGACGGCAACTTCCTGTTAACGACGCTAGAAGCTTAGGCTTAGTCTTCTCCCCTTCTTCAAGAGGGATAAAGACGAAAAAGGGGAGGAAGGGAGATCTGTCTGCCAGACTAGGTAACTTGGGCGGATGCTGGGGGAGGTCCAGGGGGGGGGAGACCAGCTTAGGAGAGACTGCGACTTGAGAGTAAGAAGCCCTGGAATGAGAGGAGGGGGTAGGGAGAGGTGGAGCTGCCGCTGACCTGGGTGGAGGAGTAGGGGATTTGGCGTAAAGGTCATAGATATCATTCCAGCAGCGAGGAAGGTGAGGGAGAGGGAGATGACACTGAGGAGGGAGATGAGGGAGATGACGGAGAGGGAGAGTCATACTAATACCTTCTAACATTATCTATTGCTTTGTAGGTTTACATGATGACCCGAGGGTTTCAAACTTCGCTTTCTGGAATAAAAATTTTACTTTATTTTGTGCATATAGTTTATTCAATCCAAAGCTCAAGCCAAGATTTCAGTTGTATTTTCTGTGTGATGGAATGCTGAGAATTATACATTGTGTTGCAAAATATGAAGCAACATTCTTGTTTTTGATAAGAAAAAATGAAGCAACATAATTTTAGAAGATATAAATTTTGTTGTGAGATTGATAAAAGCATTGGAGGTGGGGGAGAACTTTGGCTTGAATGATGTGTCCTTCACAATGGCACTAAAGTGGCCTTTTTCACATAGAAGTTGATGCATTGGGCTTTTATTCATGTTTGATTAGGTGGCGTCATATTCAAATACGAAGGGCATATCGACTTTACAATGGTTCTTTGAATTCAACATGTTCTGGTAATCTGAATTTAATTCTTCATGCACAACGAATAAAAATTTGCCTGCTGGGGCGCCTAGGCGTCCCAATGGGTAATCTGAACTGAATGGGGCTTAGGCAGGGGAAATTACTAGGGTGCTCTCTCTTAGATGCTCCCATGATACACTTGGATGAGGGCTGAAAAAAGACAACCAAACAAAAAAAAAAAGGGAAAAAAAAGAAATGGGGGGAAAAGGGGGTATCTTAGCCCCCCCAAAATCTTTTTGTGCTCCTTTTCTTCTTGAAAAACAATCATAAAAGCAATATTTTGAGTTTTTTTAAGATTGAAAAAATTTCAAATGCTTCAATTTCAAGAAATCGAACAATATTCATTCTGAAACTTTTTGGAACTTGAGGTAGTTGCCAAAGAGGTCACCGTTTCGAGCAGGTTTTGAGAGATTTGTGTATTTCATTCCTTAGCCAACCCCAAATAGTTGGGAAAAGGCTATGATGATGAGTATATTTCATTTCTTCGTCTAGTGATTGATGATATTTATGCACATCGGGTTTTGCTTTGCGTTTTTTTTCTTTTCTTTCAATTTTGTTATTGTTTGTGTTTTTTTTGGCCTTTGTATTATTGGCCCTTATTGAAGTGTGGGTTTATTTTGAGTTTTTTGACATTTTATTAAGATTGGGTAACTCGATTCCAAAAGGATATCAACGAAAGCATGCTAGGTTTTTGTTCTACTTTGTCAGGTTTTTGTCATTTAATTTTTAATTTCAAAGTCTTGTATGTCTACACACTCAATGGGGGATTTATTACCCATTGAGTGTCTGGGAATAACAATGTCTGGGAATAACAAATGAATGTGCTACACACTCAATGGGGTATTTATTACCCAACAAAACCCCCAATATCATCTTCAGCCTAGAACCCCCTTTATGTGCAAGCCGCCTGCATGGAATCCTGGCTACCTAGGCCAGACGAGTCCACCTTCTTGAGCACCGATTATGTGGTCACATGATGCTAGTAATGGCATTTTACTTGTGGTAACTAGTTATAGAAAAATTGTCTTATTGGTAAGGATGTCTGATAGCTGTGAAATAAGTTTAAAGGGTTGTTATATAGTTGAGGATGTTTTTGCAGCTCTTGGGACTTCGAGCTTTTAAAATTGGACATTTGGCCAGCTTATTTAAAAATGCATTGATTGCAAAGAAGGTGGTTGTAAAGGAGTGTATAAATATTTGCACTGCTATTATGAATTGGGGTAGATTCTGTGGGATTTGTGTTATGATTGACTTGATATATTTTAGGACAGGGCCCTTTGCACAAAGTTAGGCCTAAAGAAAAGCAACAAGCAGTTGATGCATAAAGAAAATGAGGTAAGCCATAGCACATCAAATATGAACATAGGAATTGTTACATGAATTATCAGTGAATAATTCATAAAATAATTCCTCAATTATATTAGCCATTGGTACATCAAAAATGTGAGAGCTACTTGTTTACAAGGAGTAGAGCATGTAGAAAATGACTGAAAGGGTTAATAGGTACTGGGCTGGAATCTAGGATGTTGGCAATTGCAACCTCACATCCTGAGTTTGAATCCCACCACTAACCCAGCCAAAGTAAAAGATGAAAGTGCCTTTACCATTACATAGGCATATGAACGCATGATTCTATTTTCTTACCGTGGCGATTTCTAAATCTTGTGTTGTTTTTTCCTATTTTATGCTGTTTTGAAGTGTTATTGGGATTTTCTTCCAAAATCATATTTTGGTTTCTTACATGTAGCTTTAAACATGTGAAAGTTGTGCCTGGATATATGATAAATTATGCTTGTAGAAACTTTTAATTTTATGTTCCATTCGTACTTGATGATGAAATTCAATAATATTTTCAAAGTTCCGATCTCTCACATGCAAAAAGATTGTCTGGTGTATAGGCTATATTTCAAGTTCAATAATATTTTCAAAGTTCCCATTTCCCACATGCAAAAGGATTGTCTGGTGTATTGGCTATATTACTTCTACAGTATAGTACAGATACTCTATAATAGCTATAACATCTCTTTGCTAATTAGCAGGGTTTGGGATTCTCTAGAAGATGTGACATGTTGCAAGTCATTAGTAATTGTTTATGAAAACAAATGTCTTCTTCAAATTGGTGTTGCAGCAAAATCTTCTGCAAGTGATGCTAATGCAGTATTTGTGGATCCTTCAAGATTAATTAGTGGTTCACTTTATCAGGGTGTTAAGAAATCTGGAAAACGTAAGTTTTTTGAACTATTTATTGTTTGTATCTTCAATCATAGAAAGTAACCTGGAAAAACGTAATATTTAGCTGTTCTTTTCAGAATCCTACTTGGCAAACCTTTCTCTTTATCCTGGGAGGTATGATCTACCATTTTTCCCGCCAAATACCCAGGTATGCTTTGTTTTTTGATGAAGGTGTGCACTATTATTTTAAAATGGTGCAGGAGTTTATTTCATATTTCTGATCTCTCTTCTCTTTCGGTACTTCTTTTAGAAATATCAGTATAGAATTTAAGGAACTCTATTATTTGGTTAGTTAACTCCTTCATTTATTTTTGTCCCTTCATACATTTAAATCCTAGTTGTGATATAGTTCTTCCTCATATTTCATAATTTTAGTCCCTTTATTTTGATGCTGTATTAAAGTGCTGATACAGTTTAGCACACATCATGGGTCATGCACATGATACATAACTTCACCTTAGGGTGAATTGTAATTCAAACAACTTGGAACTCCATGTATTGACAATTGAAAAGTAAGGGCTTGAATCTTTCATAGGGAAAATAAAGGCCTCTTCTCTTTCGGTACTTCTTTTAGAAATATCAGTATAGAATTTAAGGAGCTCTATTATTTGGTTAGTTAACTCCTCCATTTATTTTTGTCCCTTCATACATTTAATCCTTCTTGTGATATAGTTCTTCCTCATATTTCATAATTTTAGTCCATTTATTTTGATGCTGTATTAAAGTGCTGACAGAGTTTAGCACACATCATGGGTCATGCACATGATACATAACTTCACCTTAGGGTGAATTG